CGCCGGGAACATCCCAGTCGACCGTCCAGGCCACCCCAATAATACCCTCTTCTTCTGGGCATGGGAGAAGACCGAAGGTTCCCTCACCGCGGCCGCGAACGAGCGCGCCGGCGTTCCATGGGGAATCTGGCTCAACGGAGGGTATGCACCGGTTTCTCGCGGGATCCACTCCTCTGTCTCGAGCCCCGGTCCCTGACATGTCCCGTACTCTGTTATAAATAGCCCTGGATCCTCGAGTCTGCTCGGTTTCGCGTACGAGGTAGGCGCATGTTTGCATCTCGCACCGCCCAGATGGTCCCGCTGACAGATCGTGGCGCAGAATGGCCCCATTCACCTGGATGCAAACGGGGTGCCGTTCCAGAACACGTTCAGCTTCGACAACGTCGCCGACTACATCTGGATCGACCAGCCTGTGTAAGTGGTGCTCACCTCCGGAACTCTGCGCCGCACAAGTTGGACCTTACTCATTCGTTCTTCTCAGCGGTACTGGCTGGTCCACAGCGGACTCCACTGGTTATGGTGAGCTAGCGGCTCCACTCGCCGTTTCGGCGTCGCTGATGATGCCTCTCTAGTGCACGATGAGGACGAGATGGGACGGGACTTCGTGAGTGCTTGTCTCTCATCACTGAGGATGTTGACTGAACGTAATCATTGGCGCGGTCTAGATGGGCTTTCTGGCGAACTTGGTCAAGGTGTTCCCGAGCCTGGCGACCCGGCCTCTGTACTTGACTGGAGAAAGTTATGCCGGCACTTATATTGTGAGCGACTCCCGCGACAATGAGTCCGGGATGGCCGCTGACCAATAGCCGCAGCCATACATTATGAAGACGTACTTCGGCATGACGAACCCTCCGGTCAACATCGCGAAATTTGCCATCGGCGATGGCACCGTCGGATCTGAGGTTGTCTTCGAATATGTGCCGACGGTGGGTCTGGATTCATCGTCAAGTTTGCCGCTAGCAGCTGATCATTCTCCCCATCGTGCCGTAGCTCACGACCATCGAGACTTACCCGCAACTTATCGGTTATGACCCGGACGTATACGAGTTCTTCAGAGAGCAGTGAGTGCTAAAGTGCAGCGTGGAGTTCATGGGCTCGTCGCTCTGACTCACAATCGTCCCGTTAGACAACATCTCTGCGGCTACGACCTCAACCTCACCTATCCTCAGAACGGCCACTTCCCGACCTTGCAGTTCGTCAACCCGTCGGATCCTCATCGGAGCGAATTCAGCGCTGCCTCGGCGAAGCGCGACTTCTTCCGGAAGACGCTCTCCAGGTTAGCGTCCGCTGCCTCGGCCAGTACCAAGCGTTCCATCGATGAAGGCGCAGTGGCGAAGCGCGACCTGAGCATGCGGGCGAATGGGACCATCGACCCGTGGTATGGATGCTTCATCTACGACGAGATGATCGACTACGCCATGAACTTCTCGGCTCCGTGGAGTGCGTCTTTTGTGGTCATGGTTTACTTCCAACTGCGTTCTAAGGCCCCAGATTGCAGATGTCGTCGGTAACCCAGCGACGCTCGATGGATTTGATGTGAGTGGAGTATCTCTGCCACGCGCGATGTCGCTCACCTGACGTTGCTCGTCCCCGCCTCTCCCCGCAGTTCTACCAAATCCCTGACGCACTTAACCCGGAGTTCCCCATTGACGGCAAGGGATTCTTCAATGGTATGTCTTCTCGATGCTCCTGGTAAAGCCCGACTAACATGCCGACGTAGATCCGCAGGCGGTCTCTGCGCTCCACGCCCCAACTAGCAAGACATGGTCTGGCTCCTTCTTCTATCCGTTCCTCGGAGACCCCGTCAATGGCAACGACCTAAGTGAGTTTCAGATCGTATACTCCGCACTAGATCCGCAACTAACCGCACCGCGCGCGCGAACGTAGGCGTCGAGTGAGTGGATCATGTCCAAGAAGGGCATCGCAGCGGGTGCTAATCGACTGGGAACCACTAGGCCCATGGCGTTCTTGAGCGATCTAGCAACGAACATGTCCCACCACGGCATTCCCATCGTGCTGTACTCTGGCAACGACGATTCTCTGATTGCACACCGCGGCACGGAAGGTGCGTGTGTCTATCAAGCGATTGGACGATGACACGATCGTACTGAACGGCCGGCCCTTCCCCAGTTGTCATCCAGGTTCGTGCGACCGATCTGTGACGGACGTGCATCACACTGATTAGCTCGCCAGAACACGACCTTCGGCGGCATCCAGGGCTTCACGCGGCGCCCGTCCACGCCGTGGTTCGACAGCGACGGCAGCTTCGCCGGCGTCGTGCACCAGGAACGCAACTGGACGTACGTCCTCGTCGAAGGCGCGGGGCACCTCGTCCCATTCAACCAGCCTGCCCGCGTGAGTGCTGTTCCCACCTCCCCCCCATCACATCGCGCATCGAACGCTCACACTCATCTTCCGCCTCTCCCAGGCCCTCACCATGTACCGTAACTTCATCTTTGGGAGCAACCAGACCGGGCTGGTCGTCTCCGGGACTGACGGGGTGACCGTCGAGGGCGGCGAGGACGCCGAACTCGCCGTCGACGCGATCCTCGGGCAGTCCGGCATCTACGTCGGCGCGATCTCGACCACGTCCACCGTCGAGTACCCGGCAGCGACGATCGCCGCATGGGAGGAGTTCATTGCGACGGCGACGGCGACGCTGCTGCCCCCGCTCAGCCCCAGAAACCTCGCGAAGCGGAGCGGGGCTGCGCGTGTGGGAGGCGCAGCGGGGGGTGCGTTGGCGATCGCGGCGAGCGTGGCCGCGGTCGTGGTATCTTTATTGCGTTCGATCTGAGGTGTGGTGGGCGCGGGTGGGCCCTTTCTGTGCTTCTGCGGTTCGGGGTTCGTGATTCGTCGGTTTTCGTCTTCGCGTCTCATGGGCCCTGCTTCGGCCTTGGTCTTCGTTGATCGGGTCGGTCTTGCTTTCGGGTTCGCATTTCGCATAGTTTGCGGTTTCCGCTTGCTTCTTCTTTTCTTTGCTTCTACTGGGTTTGCTTTTGGTTTATGTCTCGACGTCTGGATGTCCTTGATGCTGGTCATGCCCTGGTTACGACAGGAAGTAGTAGAACGAGAAACGACGCCACTGTATCATGTAACAGCTCTCTAGTTCTCGGCCTAACTTAATGTATCAATGCTGTGACGCGCACCTCTTGCTTCGCTAAGCCACAAGTCTTTCATCTCCCGGTAGCATATCGACCCAAGGAAGGATCTCGGCTTTCATACGCAGCACTCAGCACGCTGTGCTGCCAGCAACTGACCTTCGACATCGAACAATACAGCACCACGTGCGATCGAGGACATATGTAGGCTGTAGCACGCTCATCTCGTAGGATCCTCGGACGTCTAAAAGTAAACAATAAGGTTACACCATCGTACTGGTCGGGCCCAAACCCAATCCGCCGACTTCCCGAAATGGCCAATCAGTGGCAAAGACACTGCAAGGGGTATCACTTTCGTACACGACGCTCATGACGGGGTCATCACCAAGCAGAAACATGAGGCACCTACTACGTAACCGAAGCACGACGCGTGCCCACAGCAGCCGAAATGAAACCACCTGGATAGCAGAGGCACCCACGGGAAGCGCTACGCTCATGTTTCGCCGTATGGCCGTGGCGTAAGCAGCCTCTCTGGAGAGAGAGAGAGGGATGATCGTCCACGGCCAGCCAGCGCACGAAGCGAGTTCCTCAGCCCAGAGAGCCCCTCCTGGACATCGGGGGCGGGATTGGGCGCGGCTCTGGCATCCACCGCGACGGGAGCCATTGACGGCGCTCTACCGTGCGCGGAGACGTCGAGGAGTACGTCACGGTTGCGCGCATGGGCGGCGGAAGGGGCAGGGGCACGATCTTCCTGAGCTTCCTCCTCCCACGGAAGCGCGCGGCGTACATCTGCAGCTGGCGCTGGAACCCAGGGTTGGGCCAGACGATCTCGCGTTTCGAGATGACGAAGTCGAGGGCCTCGTGCGGGGGCATGGCGTGCGTCGCGATGAGATACGCACAGACGACGGTCGCGGAGCGCGAGATGCCCATCGCGCAGTGCACCTGCAGGAGGACGCGAGGTGAGCGTTGGCCAAGGCTCAAGCGATCAGGGTAGAAGATTTGCACTGCGCGCCCTCGCAGCGCGAGTCAACTTTGTGCCTCGCGTCGAGGGCGCGGACGTCGCGAGGGAGATCACGTACGAGGACTGTATTGCGCTTGTCCTCGAGGGCGGACTTGATGTATGCGGTGGTGACGTCGAGGTGCTGCAGGATGTCTGCGCCTTCGACGTCCTGGAGGGGTATATGGAGGGTCTTGAGCTTCAGGGAGGGAGGATATTTTGGCCGCTGCTCGATGATGGAGACGATGTGTGTTACGCCGAGCGCGATGAGCTGCTCTTCTTCGACGGCGGTGTACAGTCCTGACAGCCACAGTCGAGGGAGGATCTCTGAGGGCGTGGTGATCATCCCGCCCGGACGCGGGGGCATTCTTCGCCTCGCGACCACGAGGGAGCCATGGCCGATGGGTGAGGTGAAGGACAACATGGGGGTGGGCGGGAGAAGGATGTCGGGCTTGGGGGACAGGTCTGGTTGATATAGAGCGAGAAAGGGACGAGATTAGGCAGGTAACGTGGGCGCCGTCCGTGGACTGTGGACGATCACTCAGCTGCCCGCGGCAGAAGACGTGCAATATTCCTGAATCCTGGGAGACCTGTGGGCGTGGGCTGTGTCGAGGCTGTAACTTGCCCTGTTGGCGACTAAGGAGTCCGTCATAGCTGCGCATGTGATCCTAGGAACAGATATCAGCGGACGCGCGATTCTGCGTTCCTGCGCTAGCAACTATCACTGGTCAGCAAATGCGAGGTTCACGATGGACAAGATTCAAAGTGGCTCTGAGTTCGACCAACGTTCAACGTTAACTTCAGCGTCTGATTTCGGCGGATGGCCACACCAGGTTCTTGTTCCTCCTCTTGTCGAAGCTCCTGCTAGGCCCGTTGAATTGCGCAGAAGCAAGAAATAAAACGAATGATGAGAGTGGGATTCGAACCCACGCCCTTTCGGACCAGATTATACGATATCGTGAACGAACCTTAGTCTGGCGCCTTAGACCGCTCGGCCATCTCACCGTGAACGTGACTCCTTGCTTGTAGATCTCACCAGCCAGAGGCTGTTGATGCCATTTCGAACGGAGGACCCTCCGAGGCCATGGAAACAAACCGGACGGGTTGGTATTATGTTGTGAATTCGTACGAGTATGTGGGTTCCAGTTGCTTCCGTTCCATGATCTGTCATCAAAGTGAACTTCGAGAGATATGTGGCCATGACATGACTGCAAGCGCCATTCGTCGTTTGGCAAAGTCAAATGAGACCATGTTAGCAGAAAGAGACGCGGTTTCTTGACATACATGTGAACGCTGCCAGTCAGATGTTGCGTTGCTTGCCAGCTGCGGCGGAGTGACAAGTTCGGAGAGCATCTGGAGAGCACGAGCGCTCCTCTCATGCGCATCAGTCGCGAGCCCGCCCTGAAGCGTTCTGGTCCGTGCGCGCTCCGCCAGTATATAAGCCTCTCCCCGACGTCCCAACAACTCATACTTACCTTGATGGCACGGACCCCTTCACGTACCAGGGTTCGTGGGCCGCGGGGGCCTCTCATAGCACGGCGACCATGTCCTCAGGGGGACCTCGCGGTTTGTACGGGCTTCGGCTCGTGCACCGTCTCAATATTTCCCTGTCCTGCTTCGGCCCTCGGGCTGGGCAGGCCCCTCTTTTTTGTTGCTGCACGGTCCTAACCCTAACCCTAATACACAGCCACTTACAATGCTGCGTTCAATACAAGTTATCATTGTTACCCGCTCATACTTGTGATAAGAGGGACGTGTGCTTATCATCGCAGATAGTAAGTACGTTCGCAAGAATGGAGGTGTTTGCTCGTGTTATTTCGAGAGGCTATTGGCTTTGACCCCCACAGGACCAGTCCGACTTTCGCGGAACTACGTCTCGGGCTGCTTGCTGCTTCACTGTTTCCATATCGTTGCTTGCCTCTTGTCTAGCTGAATAGACGACTCCCTTGGCTTAGCTTGAATTGCTGTAACACATAGACTGCTCAAGGATCTTATGGTCCCGCCTCAGGTACTGAGGCAACAGTTCCAAAGAACAATATCCCAAGAGGATCCATATACGAAGGACTAGGATGTGGTGTGTTCCAAAGCTCACTATCGTGATATCTAGCTCAACTGTTCCAGGAGCGCTGGTAGCGATTCACATCAATCTTGGGACAAGGGAGGAGACCGCGACATTCACGATGCAGAGGCATACGAGTTCATCAACACCGAAACGGGCCCACTACTCTCCTCTCGGTCACTAGAGAAGCAAGTCGCGTATGAGGAAGGAAGCACCATCGACTGGCTCCGCGAAGAGGCCGCGGAGCGCGAACGCAAGCGCGTCATTCGCTCGCAACGGGGACTACATGGACTGCTCGCGCTGGTGCTGGACTCGGCGGGGATGTGGATGGTCATCATCTTGACGGGTATTGGTGTCGGGGTACTGGGTGCATGGTTGGACGTTCTGGTCAAATGGTACGTTTCTCATCTTCCTTCATGTATGAAGGTATATGCACCCGCAAGACAGGTTGGGCGACTTGCGCGAAGGACGCTGCACCTATGGTTTCTTCTACAACCAGGTGGCGTGTTGTAGTGGACTAGACCGTGAGTACGCGTGCTCCCTATATATTCTTGCTATTCAATCTGAATGCGACGCGACCAGCTGGAGAGGTATGCAATGAGTGGCAGAGCTGGAGCGAATACCTTCATGTCCGCAGCATATTCGGACAATCGTTGCTCCAAGCTGCAATCTACATCGCTTTGTCGGTACGGAGATCACCCTCACTTCACGCCCATCCCCATACTCAAGCATGAGCATTGGCAGATCGGCTTTGCGGGAAGCTCGGCGGTGCTGGTCATGACATACGCTCCATAGTGAGCAGCCTTCGCCGTGAAAACAGGTCTCCGTACTAATGCGTACTTGCAGTGCGTTTCATACAGGAAGTACGTGGTGATCCCTAGTTTTGTCATGCCAAAACTGACTTGGCCCCGCATACAGTTCCAGAAATTAAAGCGGTTCGTGCCCGGTTGTATCAGGGAGCACGGCGTCTGTACTCATGACACGCCTGCCAGATCCTAAGCGGATACGTCCTCGACGCGTTCCTTGGTCCATGGGTGCTCCTAATCAAGTCCCTCGGTCTCGCGCTGGCTGTAGCTTCCGGCCTATCGCTCGGCAAGGAAGGCCCGCTCGTCCACGTCGCCTGCTGCTGGGCCTTCCTCCTCTCCCGCGTCTTCAAGCAGTACCGGCAGAACGAAGGTGAGCTATATCCGCCTCAGTGCACGTTCAGTCCCTTCTACGTTCTCGGTGCTGATGCTCTCTCGCTAGCTCGCAAACGAAAGCTGCTGGCTGCCGCGGCCGCTGCTGGGGTGTCCGTTGCCTTCGGGAGTCCTCTCGGCGGCGTGCTGTTCGGTCTTGAGGAACTCGACACGTTCTCGAACGACAGCGATGTCATGTGGCGGGGCTTCGTCACGTCCGTCATCGCTGCCGTGTCGCTGCAGTACATCGACCCGTTCGGGACCTCGAAGCTCGTGCTGTTCCAGGTATCCGAGTCGGCCTCGACGTGGCGAGCGTTTGAGCTGGTGGGTTGTCACGCTGTTTCGTATCCATGGAATGAGGCTGACAGCATGTTTGCGCAGGTTCCTTGGATATTCTTGGCTGTAATTGGGGTGCGTATGCCCGAGAAAAGCTTCGACCGTCAGTCGATCGTCTTGTTGACCTTGCGAGCTGTAGGGTATCCTTGGCTCGCTCCTGATCAAGCTCAATGCCGCTGTCGCGGCATACAGAAGACATAGCGTGCTCCACGAGTGGCCCATCGTCGAGGTCGTCGGATTCACGGCCATTACTGCCGCCGTCAGCTACCTGGTACGTCGGGCTGTGCCTAATGGATGCGGCGACGGCGCTAACAACAGGAACAGGTGGTATTCCTGAGGGTACAGTCATCGGAGCTCGTTGCGAATCTGTTCCAGGAATGCGATCCGACGAAGCCGGACTATCATGGTCTATGCAAGTGCGTGTGTGGGTTTGGTTCTGGGGTTGTTGCGATGCGCTGACTGGGTGCATCGGGCAGTCCGACAGCTATCTGGGCGAATGTCTTCCTTCTGATACTGACTGCGATGACGAAGATCGGGTTCACTGCGTGGACGTTTGGCATGATGGTATGGGTTGAGCTCCATTTACAAGTCACGTCTGGAGCTGACGGGTATGTGCAGGTTCCTGCGGGTATCTTCCTCCCGACCATCGCGATTGGGGCTTGCATAGGACGTGCGGTTGGATTGATCACGTTAGTACTTGCTCGTTTTCAAGGGGGTCGTCTGAGGCACTGACTGACGGGTTGTGCAGACAAGGTCTGTACCGAACGTACCCGCAGGCGTGGATATTCTCTTCCTGCCCTCCGGACCCGACGGTGCGATGCATATCGCCCGGTTTCTACGCTGTCGTGGGCGCATCCGCGATGTTGGGTGGGGTTACCAGAATGACAGGTAAGTCCTGTTCCTTCCTTTCTACAGTCAATGCTGACATTCTGACCACGCAAACCTGCGACAGTCTCCATCGTCGTGATCCTCTTCGAGGTGAGTTCTCACACCACACGTCTTCTTCCACTCAGTCTGACACCCGCCCCCACCCTCCCATCCTCAGCTCACAGGCGCGCTCTCGCACGTCCTCCCGATCATGATCTCCGTCATGGTCGCCAAGTGGGTCGCAGATGCGTTCGGCAAGGACGGGATCTACGCCATCTGGATCGCGATGCGCCAGTACCCGTGGCTGCCCCCGCGCGACTTCCGCGACAAGGGCCAGACCGCCGCCCATGTGATGAAGCCCGCGGGGAATCTCGTCGTGATCAGCGACGACGGGCGGGGGTGCACGGTCAAGGAGCTCGACGAGCTCGTGAGGAGGCACCAGTTCAGAGGGTTCCCGGTGGTGCATGGGGAGCAGCTGCTGGGCATCGTGATGCGGGATAAGTTGAGGGCGTGCATCGGTGAGTGTTGTGTGATACATACTCCCTTTGGGTGCTGTCATGCTCATGGTGGTGAGCAGATGGTCTGTTGGCGGAGGACGCCTCGACAGATCGCAGATGCACCTTCCTCCCTCCAAGTCGGGTGGAGCAGGGCGACAGCGGAACGGTCGACCTGTCGCAGCTGCTCGAAGAGGCCATGCTGCAGCTCCGGAAAGACGTGCCGCTGGAGCTCGTCGTGAACATGTTCCAGAAGCTGGTACGTGACACGTCCCCCCTCAATCGCTATGTATACCTCTTGCGCTCATGTGCTGACTGCCATGCCCAGAACTTGCGACATATATTGTTTTCGCAGGAAGGCAAGCTGATGGGCATGGTCACCAAGACTGACATCGTCTGGCTGCTCACAGCCGACTCGGCCCACGCAGGCGCGCTCGCCGCCCACTGAGTCGCGCGATCGTTTGGTTTGGTTTGGTTTGGTTCTACATACATGCTACTACGGTACAGGCTACGCTGCCGATGTTATTCTTGCTTTCGTCTCTCTGCTCGCGAATATACTATGTTCGTACGATATACAAGTAGTAATGGAAGGCTTCGCCGAGCTTGCGGATCTCGAGCGTCGTGTTCGGGCGGTCGAGGTACCGGCGGCGGAAGTGTGGTTGACCAAAGGTGAGGTAGATGAAGATCCCACCGGGACGAAGGACCCTGGAGAAAGGGAAGGACTAGTGGTTAGTGAGTTGAATGCGGTGAGAGGGAAACCGGAGCGAGGAGACGGACCGTAACACCTCGTCGACTTCGCGGTTGCAATTTCGCACAACGTCTTCTGGCGGATCCTAACATATAGATAGTATATGGGTGCGTCAGAGGACAGAGGAGCTGACCATGGTCAGTTGGCTTTACGCACCCAGACGTCGGCTTTGGCTGTCATCATAGCGTCCATCGTTCCTGGAAAAACACTTTGGTGAATATCTTCTGTGGTATTCGCAGAAAGGACGTGCCTTTGTCTATTGCGACATCGAACGAATCCGTCTCGAACTTCAGGTCGCGAATATCCATCTCGTGCCCTGGGAGACTCCTACGGTAAGCACTGCAGAGGTCCGAAAGTCGATCCCATCGAAGGTCTCACATTCCATCTCAGGCGCGGTCTGCCCGTGCTTGTGGCGCATCTTTTCGATGAGGATGCCGGAATACTGTCCACCTCCCGAGGTCAGCAAGGATGCAGTGAGACGTGGACTCGAGGAGGAGCACTCACGTCGATGTTCACAATGTTCTTGTAGCCGTCATCGTACATCTATGGCGTCGTCAGCTCCTAGATCAGTGCAGTTCTATTTCATTCAACAGAGGCATACGTCCTGCGAGAGCGTAGAGTTGCCGCATCCCAGCATCAGGATTTTTGACGATTTGTCCGGGATGAGCTCGCGCATGATATCGGCAACATCCCGATAAGACTTGAACCAGTCGAAGGAGAAGTCTTCGGACTCTCTAAGGCCATTTTGTCAGCGACGAGAGTTAGTAGGACCCATTGAGAGTGCCTGACACCGTGTATCGCCGATCCCTGGATGTGTCCGAGTAAGTTGTAATGCACATATGGCCCGTCGGCATTCTGGAGCTTCGTGGTCCATTGGACTTACCAGTACTCCTTCGTGCCGTATTCCTCATTCTTCTCGGGTAAGCTCTCCATGACGGTCCTAAGCAGGAAAGTGGTAGAATTGTTCGAGCGCCATAGTCCGATGAAATAGGGCTGGGACCAAAAAGGCAGAGATTACTGTACTGCAAATGACCACCGCAGGGGTCGAACCTGCAATCTCCTGATTACTCCACCGTGGGTGGTTATCGTAGTCAGACGCGTTGCCATTACGCCAGGCGGCCATATGAACCACCCAGCATGCCCACACATCACTGTTATCACATCCTGGCCTCGACGGATTTACCAGTGCAGCTGCCTGAAATTCTGGACAACGAATGGAACTGAGAGGTGGTCTTGCTGAGAAGAGAGACATGGGTTATGCTGGGAAGACATGGTCATGATAGTAGGGCTGAGGCAAAAATACTTGCAGACGCTTCATGCCAGTGGCAAGGAAGGTTAGTAACTCGAGCGCCTCCCAAAAGTTGAACTTGCTCCACTTCGCCATGTCCGCGTATTGCAGCCTCAACTCATGCACCAGCCATGGCATGACCATGTCCTAATTGATGAGAGCATGACGCCTGACTTTCGTTCTACCAAAAAAACAATCTTGCTCTCCCCAGATGGTGGTGAGTATCCGTGCATCTTTCATCCGCGCTCACTGTCTACGCCTCGAGTCCATTCACGAAATTCACCTGACCGGGTTTCTTCACCTGCTCTTCAAGCCAATCCCATAGATGGCCAGCGAGTTTTTCATCGTACGCCTGCTCATTACAGCACTTCTCCTCTCTCGCCCAGGGGATAAGCCACTGCATATCACAGTATGTGCCAACGATCGTCATCGCAGTGCACAACAAGAAGTTACTCACCTTTCCGTTCAGCTTCAAGCCTTCCGGTGCGGCACCGGCATACAAAGGCGTGATCGCGCCCATTGGTGCCGGCCAGTTGATAGTATTCTAGCGATTAGCGATGTACAGGCCGGTCAGTTTGCGTGACATCCATCAGGTCTCCCCGGAATGACGCACCAAGGCTGCCTCTTCACGGCGTTGATATGGCGCATCAGCTCCATCTTCAGGATACCCGGATTCAGCGCAACAGCGATGATCCCCTGTTCCCCATACCGCCGCGCGAGCTCAAACGTGACGAGGACATCAGCGAGCTTGCTCTGGTTGTACAACTCCTCCGTGCTCAGCTTCCGGCGCGCCGGTCCGTCCTTGAATGTCTCGAAATCGAGGTGCCCGAGGTACGCATATGCAGAGGACGTGATGACAATGCGCGCGTGACCGTCTGGGGAAGATGCCTTGCCCTTGAGGAGCGCGGGCAAGAGCAGCTGGGTGAGGAGGAACGGCCCGAGGACGTTCGTGCCGAACTGCATGTCGTACCCGTCTGCTGTCACGTCCGCCACGGGAGCCCACATCACACCTCTAGGAACGACCTGCCGTCAGCACCAGCATGTGGACGGAGAGCACAAAGTCACGAACGCATTGTTGAAGAGCGTATGGAGCGCTTCTTCTTTTGAGAGGAACTCTTCCGCCGCCTTCCGGACCGACGCAAGGCTGTTGAGCTCGAGTTATATGGAGTAAGCCTCCTTTCCTGTCTCTGTCTTGAGCTCCTCGATGGCTGAAAGAGCCTTCTCGCGGTTCCGGGATGCCATATACACCTTCGCGTTGTGTTTCAGGAGCTCTTTGATCATCTCCTTGCCGATGCCCGTGTTACCGCCTGCACGCCGCCTTGGTTCAGCTTCCAGATATAGTGGAGCAGATGTCCGAAACCTTGCGGACGCACCAGTGACAAGCATAACGCGTCCAGACAAGTCCGGAAGCTGGTCTGGGGTCCAGTGCGGTTTTGGCGGGTAAACTGCATGCTGAACGAGCTTCAAATTGCCCTTGATGCGCGACATATCCGATGCCGGTGAGTGGATGGAGTCTACTATGTGGGTGGACAGTGTGATGAGGGCGAGCTCTACATGAGTAGAACTGCTCTTACATATTACAATCATATATGTGTACTTCGCGCAGTCCTTCTCTCACAGGCACAGATTGACCGTCGGATTTGCCGGCGGGCCCATGTAAGAGACCATCATCATGCTAACTTTTGACACCGCCTCACTCTGGCTTCACAAGGACCCATTCATTATTTACACAGCACCACGGATGTCAATGATCACCGAAATCCAGGTGGCACTTAGCACTTAGCGGCAGAAATCCCCCGAGCCGCCGTGTGGAAATGAGTTGGCTTGCTCACCGGAAACCCACCGTTTGCCCGCTTACCGGATAACAGGTGTCAGTCACGACGGAACCCAGGTAGAATGGCTTTTGACGAGTAATTTCCGTTCGATATCCAATGAGTTGAGCCTATAGCATGGTAAATCGTTGTAGTTAGCAGAGAACAGGGGACTCGTTGCCCCGCGCAATCGCCAGTGTCTAGGCCGTACGGATGGCATGCCACCTAGATTTCAGTAGTCCGACTCACCGAATTCCTCTGTCCGGGAAAAACCATCGGATTCCACCTGGCCTTCTCTGGGATGTCAGCGTTCCTCTGGATCAGCGGTTTCCGGTGGTCATCTGTGGCGCTGTGTATGGTGGGCAAAAAAGTGCAATATCTTCCTTGGGCCATTGACCACCGCAGGGGTCGAACCTGCAATCTCCTGATTACCCCAGCCCGTGAGCTTGTCGTAGTCAGACGCGTTGCCATTACGCCAGGCGGCCATACCAAATGGATAAACGTTGCCAACACATCAAGCGTCAATTGAAAAGGTCTTGACTCGGAAACTTCGTCACGGTTGTTGGTTGTGTTTCCATGATCCTCCGTCATCGCCACGGTGGAATCACACGATCGACTTTGACGGCGATGAAGCAAGTTCTACGGATTATTTCACGTGTATTACCGAACTCGTGGCGTTACGAAGTACTGAAGTTCGTGATTTTATCCTGTGTGCTCCCAAGTTCAACGTTCAAATGCCTTACCCCGCTGATGGTGTGGCACAGGTCACCCTTACTGCCAGCCCCTACTATGGCTTGCGTTGCAAAACGCTCAGTTCAACCGTGGGTTATAGTCCCACTCTCTCAGCTCTGATGTCGATCGGGAAGACGTCGACCTCAGACCGTGCCCTATCCGAAGGGCCTGCGCTCACTGAACAGCTGCACCATAACAAACCACCACGAAATTCAGGAGCAGTGTGTCTTCTGTGAAGGCTATTGTTTCCTCGTTCTATTAGGAGGCCCTCCATTCCACTGGTCCGCTCATCTCTCGTTTCAGCGCGCATACAGGCGTATTAGCTGTGAGGCTCTCGGGCGCAATCTCAAGTCACAAGAAACAGAGGCCCCTAATCGTTGCCGATGGACGCTCTTCCCGTGGTATAAATGCGACGAGGTAATGGACTAAGTATCTCAACACGAATAGTTAAACTACTCACAAGCCTGCCGACAGCCTCACCCGCACCTCCTCGTCCATCGTCTCGTTTTTCCACAATGTCCGACTCACCATCTACTGCATCCACTCTGAACGCTAGTATTCCCCATCCTATCCCTCCGGTGGTGCATGCTGGTGCAGGCGAGTGCGCTCCTGCAGCGGACGCTACCCATGGCATGGACTTGCACGGTCCTGTCCAGAAAGCAGCCGCAGGGCCAAACGCCGAGCCTATCAATACCGCCGTGCCAGTCGCGCTAGACGAGTCGTCTCCTACCCATGGACGTGGCCTACACGTCCAAGGACCGAGCGCAGCACCGTGACCGTGCCTCCTTGGCATCAGTCCACCCTGGGCCCAAACAGCTCGTCCCCATCATCGCCCACCCACGGGCACGGACTTCACGTCCTTGACAATGATGGCTCGTCCCCGTCGTCTCCTACACACGGGCATGGGCTTCATGTCGTTGAGGATCCGCTCCCGTCGTCTCCGACCGATAATCACGGCCTCCACATTCATATCCTCGATGACCCATCATCCCCCATGGGTTGCACGTCCTTCCCGGTCCCGCTCCCAGGGATAGCGCATCCCCCGCCTAACTTGAGCAGGACGATGCGCAGAGCCATGTAGGGCCGCATGCCCATTGCGTATGTATGCGGTCGGTGTCTCTGCGGGGACAGCCAAATGCTGTTTGGCCAGAGTCTCTGTTCGCCAATTACATCTTTTCATTGATATTATTATGTATACTTTCAGTCTGTTCTCGTCCGTTGTACATGTTCATCGATGTTTTACATCTTCATCCTGCGAATGTCTGGGCTTGTGAGATTACAGACACAGCTCACGGCGCACTAGCCTCTAGGAAAGGCGTACCCGGGTCCCTTATATGCGAGCCAAAGGGGTCACCAGTCACGATCAATACCTGGCGGGACCCGCAGCACTCCGATCGGGCAACGTCAATATACGCATGATTAAGCAGCACGGGCAAAGCATTGAAAGCGGAGTAGAAAAGGAGGGAGAGAGACACGATGAACTACTAGCAAGTACTACCGAATAGTCTATCAGACCATGCACGTGAACAACCAAAAGTTCAGTCAACCAATACGCGAGCCAGAGGCGAGACGCCGAAACGAGAGTGAGTGTGTGTGTGTATGTATGCGGGCGGGATAAGTAGGATGATGCAACAGGTGAAGCTATGAAGCTTGGGCAGGATGTATAGAGGCGTAGACAGGAAGGCCAAGATTAGTTAGTAAACGAGTGTGTACGGTACCTCCATCAACATCACGGACGTGGGTTGCATGCACAGCTGTTGCCCGGACGCTGGCGGTCCTGGAAGATGTGGGCAGTGGGCACGATGTGCTATGTACGATACGGTCTCTCAGGACGCGGCCATCCTTCATGCAGCAGACGCTGGCGGTGCCTGTGCCTTCTCTGCGTGCGGCTTCTCGGGAGACGCAGACGACGACGTGTGCAACGCTGCTTCGCGTTGCCTCGCTCGCTGGGCGGCGCGCACCTGGTGGTGTTTCGACTTGCCGGCTGCGGCCTCGGCGACCATCCTGACCCCCAATCATGAGTCGAGGGATGTCCAACGACAACAAATGCGACGATCACGCACCTCTCGAGCTCTCGGCGTTCCTCGTCGGTTTCGTCGGGGACGGTCGACTTGAACACAGCACCGATCAGGAGAAGACCCTGTAAAGTGCGGTGAATACAAGTGACAACGCGCAGGGCTTCATTGTGAACGAACCTTTGCCCGGTTGTAGAGCACCTGGTCTGAGACACCTGGCTCCTTGAGTACGCGGTCGACAACCTATGTGGTATCGACACATTCAACAGCGGCCTCGCGCCAGTCTTGATGACGGAACTCACCTCTCGGAGGACTTGTGACACCTCGAAACGAGTCCCTCGCCACGACGCAAGCATGATCTGCGCCATATGTCAGGGTCAGGTCTTGATAACCACCCGCGAACGAACAACGCACCTTCCCCGTGACGTCTTCTTCCAGAGCCCTGAGCTCCTCCTCCCCGAGCTCGCCCCTGGCCTGAAGCTTCTCCATTTCCTGGACAATCCCAGATTTCAGTCGACGTGAGCACGCGCACGCATATAGGGACATACCGCTATTGTCTGCTGAACGCCGAGACTGGACTCCTATCAGTGAGCGAGCACGACAGAGACATACAGAGATACTCACGCGCTCCCAATGACGCCCCACGCGTCCTTGGCCATCGCGCCCTTCTCCTTCAGTCTCGAGAAGAATCCGGGACTGCACCGACGTCAGCTCCCACCCACCAGTCATCAGCGATCAGCAAGCACGCACATGCCAAGAAACTTCCTGCTCTTCAAGAACGACGTCGCCTTCATCATATAGATATTGCCGATCGTATGCAACAGCTCCACACCAAAGCTCTCGAGCTTCATATCGTCCGCCTCGCTGCGCATCTTGCGCTCGAACGCGGCCGTCTCCGGGTCGTCCTTGTCGCCCGGGTGCTTCGCCTCGACGAACGGCCGGAGGCGGTCCACGAGCTTCTTCGTCAGCGTCTCGACGCGCTCCTCCATGTTCTTCTTGCGCTCGTCGTCGAGCTCCTGCAGCTTCTTCTTCTGCTCCGGCGTCAGCTTCGACCGCTTCTTCCCGTGCGCATCCTTCTCCTTCTCGCCCTTGTGCAGCTCCTTGTCCTTGAGGTTCGTCGAGGACGACGACGCGGGGCTCTTCGATGCGGATGCCAGGGAGTCCCGCTCCGGACCAGGAGTAGCAGGTCCGGGCGAGGCGACGGAGGACGGCGAGGGGGAGCGTGCCGGGGACGGGACGAGGGACGCCCCCGTCGCGGGGACAGGACCGGACGCAGGGCGAGGGAGCGGGGACGCAACCGCCGGCGAAGGTGTCGCCGCAGGGGTCGGCGTAGCAGACACAGGAGGCGGTGAGGTGGGCGTACTCCCCTCGACCATCTCACGCTCGATCTCTGCCTTTTCTTCCTCGGACATCATCGTCGACGCGACGGACGTCATCTCCTTCATCAACGATATCTCGCCAATCTGAGGTTGAATGTGAGTACGATGCAGCAGATATACATTCGTCAAGCGCGACGGGAGGTTGCGAGATACGGAGAGTTGTGCCCTTGCCGTTCGGGGCACTCGTCTGAGGTAGCGAGCGCTCTTCCTGGCAAGCCTCTAGGGACGGTTGGACAGACGACTTCGCGCGCATAAGGGGAATGTTGCGACACGGTGGCACGCTGCGGCGGACGCGCCGCGAGCTCGAACAAACGGAAGAGAACACTCACATAGTCCCTGAATCGCTCTCCACCGAACACATTCGCGAAGAAGCCCGCCGCATCCTCCATTGTCGGGCCTCCTTCGCTGTCCGCCTACGAGCGAGCGCACATGAATAGTCCGCGACGAGAGGAGGAAAGCGTGATCGGGTGCGTACCATCTTGGCGCCATTCTTGTCATATACGACGCGCAGATTCTGGGGGAGCGAGTTAGAGAGACAGGACAAAGCAGAGAAGCGAAGAGGACTCACAGGATCCGAGAGAATCTGGTACGCTTTGCTGGGCGGGGCGTTAGTGCGAGCCGAGACTGTTCGGAGGACAGGGGAGGAGCGCGAACCTGATCTCCTTGAACTTCTCCTCAGCATCTGGAGAGGGGTTCTTGTCTGGGTGATACTACCCAACACACCCCCATACCCCAGTAAGTAGAACGACGGAATAATGGAAGAATAGGCCAAATGAGCTCATGAGAGAGACGGCGAAGTTGCGCGGACATACCTTGATCGCCTGCTTCCTGTACGCCTTCTTCAAGTCCGTGTCGTTCACGTCCGTCGGGACACCTAACTAGCCTCCACCACAACACAGACAGGTCAGAAAGCCCGCGCGCACACGAGCGAAGGCACCCGCCGCGCACCAGGTCGTAGTACTCCGTCTCTACCGGCGCCATCTCGATTCTTGATCAGAATTTCTTGCGTAGGCTGTCTTCTATGGTAGTGTTCCAAGCTGCTGCTTGCGCTCTAGTAGGCCGCAAGCCGCGATAGCCGAGGATGTGGACGTGAAAGACGTGAACTTTGTCGTGCAAGAAGGAAGAGAGAGACGGAAAGCGGTGGGATGATGGCGGGTGTGGAGGACAAGGGCCCGCCCGGAAGCAGGTTCGGACCACTACAAGGCGCCCATGACATATCGAGCATTGCGCAGGCTCTCGGAGTCAGCGAGGCTTGCACTGCGCAGAGTGCATACGCAGCGCACGGCATTGCATCATAGGGGGATAGTGTGAGGATAGTGATGGTTAATGTCTACTTTACACAGTAGTAGTAATGTTGTA